CATCTGTGTGTCAGTGACAAGACAATAGAGTACTGTAGTGTGAATGAGTATGTTAAATAGCTGCAAATAGAAACAATTGTGTCTACATATTGAATTTATTTGATAGTGATTAGAGAAAAACTGAAGACTAACTGGATAAAGTTCCCTTGTCTCCATCCTATACATCAGTGATTATCAACCTTTTTTGAGGCCAGGCACATATTTTAATTAAAAAAAAAATTGCACAGAACATCACCAAACAAAGTTGTCACAAAAAGAGGATACATGTCAATTTCATACATTTTGCCATTTAATAGAAGATCATTTAGTAGTCCTTTCTGTCACTATAAGTTTCTGGCATAGATAGAGGAACAAAGATACATTTGTTATTAATAAATACATTTTTCACCAATTAAGTGAAATTTGATAATTTCCCGCAGCGCACCATTAGAGCTCTCACAACACACAGTCAATGTGCCCCCCGGCACACTGGTTAGGAATCTCTGTTGTACAGTGTATAGGAAAACTCGCACTGAACAACTTCAAAACCATCTTCATTACTAGCAAAATATATTTTCAATTCTTAGAATTGTGTTTGCTATGTAGAACATAAAACCTTTGTTGCAAGAAGAAATATGCCCTGGCATTTGTTTTACATTAAAAGAAAATTATTTCAAATGGTTTGTGCTCTTTGTACTTGTTTTTTTTTTTAAATCACAATCTGCTCAACTGCACATAGGCTTTATTGTTCAATTCAATTAATTTGCTCACATATAAGTTACTAAGAAGAAATGAGCAGGTCAGCAAGTATCAAACACATTTTCTGAATCCATTTAAAGCACAGCTGATGAAGCTCTTACTTGATGAAATAACCCCCCCCCCAAAAAAAAATCACCTGTTTAAGAAAATGATTGTCATGTTTGTACATTATACGGGATATGAACATCGAAAATGATCACTTGTTTGTTTGTTTAGCACAATTTAAAAAACAGTGCGTTGAGGGAATGAAGGGCTTGTATAGTATTCTACTCCCATTCAGAGTCAGGCATTCAAATAAGGCCACTGCTGTGTCCCACTCTTAGCCCATGATGCCTGGGTATTGTTAAGATATGATTCCTCTCTGTTAGCTGGATTTGAAAGAAACAATGTAGAATGCTGTTGAAGGTATTTCCTGCTTACTGTGATTACAATCACCTTTGGTACCCCCTCACCCCCACCACTTTTAGGACACCTCCAGAGGACATGTCAACATCAAAAGAGGAACTGTTACCTCAAGTATCTGTGTTGCAACTATTGAGGGACTGCGCTTTACTATGAGTACTATTGATCTCAGTCTCTTTCCTGAACATCTGTTTGCATACTTAAAACAACGTATGTAGTGTTAAAGTTTATCTTCTTCCTCCTTGGTTGATTAACGGCCCCCCAAGTGTCTTCTGTTGTCCCCCCGCACCTTGGGTCGGTCCCTGATCGTTGTTAAGCCCCCCTGGGAAGACCTCTTATCTCAGGATGTATGCACAGCGGGTGTTCTGGCACTTGCCATCACACCAAATGGTGGGTAGTGGTGGTTTGGTCTCACCTCACAACTCCCAACTTCTTCCAGCCACACCGGGTCAGATGTGATGTTACTTTCTTTGTTTCCGGGATTTGCATGAGAGGCGTACCTAACCGCCTCTCATTATCATATTGTCTCTATATAATCTCATGAATGTGTTTCTTCTACGCTTCCTGATTCAAATCTGGACCCCTCAGGAGCCCGAATCGATTCGTAAACTGCAGAAAATAAATTAAAACCCTTCAAAGGAACTGTTCATCGCCTCCAGCCTTTATTTGGATTACCAACATTCTCCTCGTCCGAAATTCAACGAACACGCGGGGAAGAGGAGGCCGCTCTATCCCCCAACAGTATCTACACCGTTGGCCTGACGAGACCCATTATGTAGTGGCTGGCGCACAACTCGGGATGAGGATGAAGCGGGGGTGATAAGAGGCAGAAGAACCACGCAAAAGGTCGTTGATGGCTGTATGACCTGCAGGAAGTCAAGAGCAAGGAAGTGCCAACAAGTGATGGGTGATTTGCCATCAGAGAGGATGGACCTGCTGCACCCTTTGTGTTTACAAAATTAAACTTTTTCGGACCATACCGAGCACGAGATGATGTCAAGAAAAGAGTCACACTTAAAGTCTGCGGAGTTGTCTTTTATTGCATGGCCAGGAGCTATCCACACCACCCTGGTGAACACCCCATCAACCGGCAGCTTTCTGATGGCTTTTCGACGGTTGACAACTCTGGAGAAAGATGTGGTCTGATCCAGGCAGCAATTTCATTGGAGCAAAACCGGTCCTGGAGGAACTTTGCAGAACTTGTGCCTCCAATATCAATGACCTCTGCTCACAAAATATATTCTGATCAATGGAAAAAAAAAAAAAACTTGCACAAAAACAAAACAAAGTTTGCCTAGAGTGGAAACGTAAAACAGTGTATGAAAAGAGCAGATGTAGTAAACTCAATATTGTCTTTCATTTTAAGTTCCGGCAGCCTGGTGTCGAGTGGTTAGCGTGTTGATCTCACAGTGCAGAGGTACCGGGTTCGATTCCAACTCCGGCCTTCCTGTGTGGAGTTTGCATGTTCTCCCCGTGGCTGCGTGGGTTTTCCCCGGGTACTACGGTTTCCTCACACATTCCAAAAACATAAATGGCAGGCTGATTGAACACTTTAAGTCACCTGTGTCAAACTCAAGGCCCAGGGGCCAGATCCGGCCCACCAGGTCATTTTATGTGGCCCCCGAAACCAAATCATGTGTGTCAACTTCCTAAAATCTGTACCGAAATGTCAAATTTTTATGCGTAATAAATAACTTTGAGATTTTTCAATCATTTTGTACCCCATCCATCCATCCATCCATCCATTTTCCACCGCTTATCCGGAGTCGGGTCGCGGGGGCAGCAGCTTTAGGAAGGAAGCCCAGACTTCCCTCTCCCCAGCCACTTCTTCGAGCTCGAAAACAAATAAGAGGATCTTATTTTACAATTTTGATAAATGACAAAAAGAGTTTTGTTTTTTTTTTTTTTAACTGCAAAGGTCAATGTTCTATGAAAATATGCCTTTTGATCATCCCTGAAACATCGTTTATCCAAA